AGGCAAAACCCGCACCACACCACCTCCTCATGCCTACCATATCGAACATCTGTTACCCCCGTGGGGTAAAATTACCCGCTACTACCAAGAAAAATCCCCCACGAATCACTTCATGATGCTCACTCATCAAACTCAGTTGCGTTCTAACAACTGCCTCACCAAACTCAGCCACTATATTTGCACCACTAACCATGGGCTGAGCTCCAACGCTTCCATACTTTTGGTTCTGGAACCCACCTCGTAGACGCTGCAAATCACAGATAAACCTAAACGTTCAAAAGTCCTGAAATTCAATTCTGCAAACAGTACAGGGCAACCCTAAAATATCAACTGGAAACCGAGACATTCTCATCTGGCGCACACAACGTACAAATGGGCGAAAATGAATCGGAACAAAACATAAATCCAATATTTCAAGGCATTCTACAGAGCTACGCAAACAAATGACTTGCAAAGGACTCAGATCTCCGGGTCGAGTTGCGATGGATTTCTAAACGATTTCTGGGTTGAGGAACTGCTTGAGGCTGTGGTCGACAGCAGAGTTTAAAATCATTAGCTCGCACATGCATAAATAATATCCCTGCAGAGTTTCAGCTTTCTACCTTGCCTGGTTCGCAAAATCGTTTCCCTCAAAGACTGGCCATACACAAGAACCTGACGTACTTCTCCATGTGACGAAAGAAATGACCGCTACTTTCACACGTTCAGTCTACGCCCAGAACAAACGTTCGTTCAATCGTCCAAGCCTTATGATGCGAGCCGTTCTGCTGCAAAACTAATATTTGAGAAGCTATTCATCATCTTGGGGCAAGAAAAAAGATGTCCAGAACAGTTTATTGTCATAATTTTCAGGATATTCGCGAGATACAAGCGGAAATGTGCAGGACTGATGGCCGAGAACATCAGTCTGCCATCCTCCTCACACATATAATATATTAACGCAGTAAATATAAATGGGAACGGGGAACAGCACATTTTGACCATATAATTTACTAGTACAGCGTGACGATGACGACAACGATGAGATCCATCGTAGTTTCAGGTGATCACCACCAAAAATAATACGCATTGATGAATATTTCTCAGCAGAAGCAGCAAGAAGAACTATGAGTCAAATTAACCAACAAATTCTACACGCACACACGCACGCACACGCAACAAATAACGCAAACTTGAGCTGAATACCGAGCACTGCAATGATGTACATGTGAACGTATGTCAAGAAAATGAACGATCGCTCAGAAATTTCTACGAATAAAACGATGGTGGGTGGGGAGAAGTAGGCCTAATCGAAGATCACAAGAGAAATTCTGGAAAAAGTAACGACGATTGCCTCCAAAACCCCTGGTCCCGCAAAATTTACGCTCATAAACAAACAAACTGAGGAAAGAAATTGCCGAGATCGACTGTTAAAACTTATCTCAAGCACTTTTGGGAAGCAAATTTGCAGAATGTGCGCAATCGTCGTACTTTCTTCTGCTACAAAAAATCAACAAACAAATTAAGACAAGATAAATAAAAAGCAATGAAACAGAACTAAGGAGAAATACCTTCGACGTTTACGACTTACAACTAAATTCTTCAGCTGTTCCAATTTTCACTGCACTGATATCGAGCATTAAACAAAGGTGGAATTTTTCTGCCGCATCTTATAAGCAAACAGGAGGACCGCACATAAACAGATAAACATCCTGAGAGGTCGAATATCCCATACACACATCAATAATTTAGCACAGTCAGAGCACAGAACGTCAACAGTACAATGTTTCGACACTGTCAAAACAAGCTTGTCAATTGAGAAACCGCCCGGAACCGGAGAATTTGCCCCTCTCTCCCTCCACAAATGCTCAAAAACCAGTGTCAAAAAGTATGTATGCTTGCTGAGAACAGTTCCAAAACGACTGACTTCAACAGAATCGAGGGGGTTTTACAGAAATCTGCGCCTGCTTTGGCAATGTGAAACACTTCAAAAGACAGACAACATCTGTACAGAAATCTTCAGAGAACTCTGCTCACTGCTAACACAATCAAACAATAAACAAAGATAGCAGTCCAACTTCGGTGGGTGCCTCAATCAACGACTTACCAGTCGATTGCGTATAACAAGACAACACAACCAGCAGGAAAATGTAGGCAAAGATTGTTCCTCCAAAAAACGGCCCTTTTACGAAAAGTGTAG